TGGTGGAATGGCCTTTTGAAAGACTCTGTTATAGTGACAGCTAGGTGGCAGTCCCTTGCAGGGCTGGGGCAGGGTTCTCCAATGTATGGTGCTGTTTTTCTCAAAGTCAGGAATCAAGGGGTAGAAATGGGAGGGCCACCACTCACCATTACCCCTAGTGACCCACAGCGACATTTTTGCTTCCTGTTCCTGCTCTGCCTCTGCTCTGCTGGCCTGAAGGTCTTAATTCCATCAGGAGACACAACAATGAGTCCATTGAATTGGAAGTTAAGACTGCTTCTCATCCACTTCAGGTTCCTCATTCCTGTGAATCAGCAGGCAAAGAAGGAGTTACTGTGCTGTCTGGGGTGACTGGGCCTGATTCCCAGGGGAAGATTGGGCTGCTCCTCCTCAGTGGAGCTAAGGAAGAGTATGTCTGGAATACAGGAGAGCCCTTAAGCTGTCTCCTAGAATTGCCATGCCCTGTGATTAAAACCAGGGGAGGACCACAACCCAATCCAGGCAGGACTACTAATGGCAGGAATGAAGGTTTATGTCACACCACCAAGGAAAGAACCACGACCAGCTGAGGTGCTTACTAAAGGCAAAGGGAATGTGGAATGGATAGTGGAAGAAGGTGTTTATAAATACCATCTATGACCACATGACCAGTTACAGACCCGAGGACTGCAATTGTCATGAGTATTTCCTCCTTATTTCGTTTGAGTATGTATGTATGTGTATCTCAAGTATCTCTGTTTTCTTCCCTCTCTGATCCCTTTATTATGTAACATAAGATGTATTGTTTTTATACATAATACTTAGGTTTTACATTTAAAGTTGTGGGATATCAAAGGAGAAGAGTAAAAATCACTCAAGGATTTTGATCCTCTTGTGAAGGTGTTAGTGATTTTTGGTTGTATGCGAGAGAGTTGTGTCATGTTAGGTGGAATTGTGACCTTGTTATTGTCTTCTTTTGGTGATGAAGGTTTAAGGAGACCTTTATGAGTGCCAAGTTGACAAGGAATTAGTTTTATGTGTCAATTTGACTGAGTCATGGGCTGCCCAGATATTTGAACAAGCATTATTCTAGGTGTTTCCATGAAGGTGTTTTTGAATGAGATTAACATTTAAATCAGTAGACTGAGCAAAGCAGATTGTCCTTCCTAATGTGGATGGGCCTCATGCAATCTGTTGAAGGCCTGAATAGAACAAAAAGCTGACCTCCTGTTGAGTAAGAGAGAAAATTTTTCCTGATGGCTTTTGGACTGGAACATTGGCTTTTTTTCCTGCCTTTGGAGTCAAATTGAAATACTGGCTCTTCCTGGGTCTCAAGCTTGCTGGCCTTTGGACTGGGAACCATTCCATCGGCTCTCCTGGGTCTCCAGCCTCCTAACTCACCCTGCAGATTTGGGACTTATTGGTCTCCATGACTGCATGAGCCAATTCCTTATGGTAAATCACTTTCTGTATAAATATATACATCCTACTGGTTCTCTCTAGAGAGCCCTGACCTAATACACATTTGGTTAATCCTGACTGATATAGATTTAGTCACTGCTAGGTTAAATTGTTTGAAACCACTTTGGAAAGATTAATCCTGCATCACTGTATACAATGAATAGAAATGAAGAGATACTGGGGAAAGGAAGACCAGTTAAGCTCTTTCAGCTACCTAGGCAACAAGTTTCTCTGAGCTAGAAATATAAGTTAAGGAAACAGCAGAGCACATATCATATTTGTAGAACTGGTAATGGATAAAAGTACTTTGCAACAGACCGTGGAAGAGAGTAGAATGCGTGAACTCTGAGGAACTCCATCATTTATGCAGCTGCAGGAGAAGGTACCTACAGGCAGACTGAGGAGGAGGAGCTGCTGAGTTGAGAGGAAATCAGAAGTCCGGAGTCTTAGAACAGAAGACTGTTGTCAGTTGTGTCTGATGCCACTGAACAGCCATTTGGGATGAGGACAGAGTTGTTCAATAGTTTTGGCATATAGAGATTGTTTGTGATTTTACCTGTGGTTTCAGGGGCTTCAAAAGATTAGATGCCAGACTGGAATGGCTTAAACAGTGAATAGAAGGAGAGAAAAGAGAGAATATGTAAGACGGCCCCTCATGAGAAGCTTTGCTGGGAAAGGGAGCACAGAAACGGGATTGTGGCTGGAGGGGCATGCTCTGGAGGGAGAGTGGGATTGACCTTTGATAGGAAGAGAGACACTTCCTCCACTGTGAAAGGAAGGAAGGACAAAGTAAGTGTAGATGCCTATCATATTATGCGTTTGAAGGTGGGAAAATGAGTGCATTTTCATGTAGGGACTTTCACTTTGCAGTGGAGTATGAAGGAGAGTTATCAGCTGAGACCCAGAGAGGCAGAAGGGGTGTTGGAGGTCTGCAGAGTTGAGGAACAGACGGCCCCTTGAGGGAAAGTCCTGAGTGGGGATGGGGATGAAGCTTTCTGGGCAGCTCTGGGGTCTTTGCTAAGGTCGGAAGCCATCATTGGTGTTGGTATTTACTGTGGATTCTTTTATTCAGCTCGGGTGGGGGTGGGGTAGGGATATAGATGGCTAGATTCATCCAAGCACGTAAGACTCTCAGTTAAACGTAACTTCTATGCGAGAATAATTGCATTAAGACCTTCTCTGCCTTGGGACTTCCACGGTGGTCCAGTGGCTAAGACTCTGCACTCCCAGTGCAGGGGGCCCAGGTTCGATACCTGGTCAGGGAACTAGATCCCACATGCTGCAACTATGAGTTAGCATGCCACAACTGAAAGATCCCGTGTGCCGCAACTAAATATGCCACACGTGGCAACAAAGATCCCATGTGCTGCATCTGAGACCTAGCGTAGCCAAATAAATAAGTAAGTAAGTAAGTAAATCCTTCTCAGCCTTAAAAAGAATGTACTGAACATAATTTAACTTTTCTTGATGTCTAAGGTTTTCATTATATTAGCTATGATGCTCTGATTGTTAAAGTGATTGCTCTGGGTTCGAGTTGACGGGTGTTTATTACACATACATCACAATGCCCGGTTCTGCTGACATTGAACTGAAAGGTAAAATCCCTGCCCTAAGTAGTACCTGTCTGTGGTGAGAGTGTCCCTGGTTGTGTGGACCTTCTGCCAGGGAAACACAGATCAGGTACCCTCTCCAGGACAGATGGGTGGATGGGGGTGGGGTGTCGAGGGAGGTTTGGTCCCCAGAAGAGGTGACCAAAGTAGTCAGCTGACTTGGAACTCAGAAGATCCATTGTCACACGAAACAACTTTGAAAATAGTGGTTAGAGTTCCAGTCAGACCATTAAAAACTAATGAAAAGGGGCTTCCCTGGTGGCGCAGTCGTTGACAGTCCGCCTGCTGATGCAGGGGACGTGGGTTCGTGCCCCGGTCCGGGAAGATCCCACATGCTGCAGAGCGGCTGGGCCTGTGAGCCATGGCCGCTGAGCCTGTGCATCCAGAGCCTGTGCTCCACAACGGGAGAGGCCACAGCAGTGAGAGGCCCGTGCAAAAAAAACAAAAACAAAAACAAAAAGCTAATGAAAATATTACATATTTTCAATGAGAAATATTACAAAAAAACAACCCAGTATTTAAAAATTAGAAGCTGAGAATTTATAAGCCTTTTACTCATTTTGAAATTTGTGTTGAGAAAATATTATTTCACTTGATAAGGTAGATTTCAGATTTTGTGGAGATTTTTTGAGTGAATGCTTGAGTGCTTTTAAGGGCTGTAATATATGCTGACAGTGACTCCATGTATTTAACTCATCGTCAAAACTTCTGTCTTTTCCTTTTCTTTGGTACCAAATAAACAACTTAAAAAAAACCCAACAACAGAGCACTGACTATGGCTACAAATGGAATAAAGGGAAGGAAAGATGTATGCATGTCTGTATATTAACTGGATAAACATTGGAAAAGGGTGAGTTGGAGGCAGATAACATTTATTCAGTGCACGTTAAAAGTCACGTACTAAGTACTTGCACATGTAGCAAATGCATTTAGTCTTAACAAAACCCCACGAGATTGATACCTGTTTTACAGATAAGAAAATAAATAATTTAACTAAAATAAATAATTTACCCTGAGTCAAGTGGTTAGTGGTAAAAGTGGCAAACTCCTACATCTTTGGCTTTATTTCCTGTGTTCTTCCCTCCAAAATAGCTAAGGTAAAATGAGCTGTTGGCATTGTAAAAATTTTTTTAAAAGAGTTATTTATCTGTGATTTTTCTGAGCAGAAAAGAAGGTAGTGTTGTGGAATAAAGTAGAATTCCTTGTCTTGGCCAAAGCCAAAGCATTTGTCAGGGTGATAGTAGACAGGGATGTATATTCAGTGTTCATAAATCAGGTTCGTATTTCTTGGGAGATAGTAGTGGTGGAGGTGAGTGGCAGGGAGGATTATCTATGCACTACACTGAAAGTTCAGAGTTTGAGTCTCTCACTTGTTTGCATCATATGAGGGATATGTGTTTCTAATAATTGAATGGAACTCAATGAGCAGTACGTATATGGCTATTAATAGATTTTGTTTTTGTTGTTTAAGCTTACGTTAGCTGCTACCAATCATTGATTTTTCAGTCTCAGATCCTTGGTATGTCTATGAAATCCCTAGTTAGATAAGCATTGCCATAGGAGTTCTGAATGGATATGATCTTTGATAACTCTGTCCGTTCTCAATAATATCTTTTGGAAATGTGGAAAATCAACCTGGTTGGTATTGTTGGTATTTTATATAAATGGAGAATACAGATTTTAGTGTATGATATAAATCTAAGAAACATGAAAAGCGTTTGTGTATGTGTTACATACTAGTTTGAAGAAATCACACAAAAATTTCCATCTGAGATTTTTTTTTAAAGCATAGTTGAGACTTTTAAATATCTCTTCAAATTTAATTTGTCATGTTTCTGAAATGGAATAAATCAGACCTAGCTTATATCATACTAAATATTTTATGCCTTACAGTTAGTTCTATAAAAATGTTTAGTCGTCTCTATTAACCACCCTCCTTAATGTTCCTAGGTTATTGAATCTTTGGGAATTATTATTTATAAGGCACTGGACTATGGCTTGAAGGAGAATGAAGAAAGGGAATTAAGCCCTCCCCTGGAGCAGCTCATTGATCGCATGGCCAACACGGTAGAGGCTGATGGCAGCAATGATGAAGGCTATGAGGCTGCCGATGAAGGTCTGGAGGAGGAGGAAGATGAGAAGAGAAAAATCTCAGCAATCCGGTCCTACAGAGATGTCATGAAGGTAAAGTTTACAATTACCTCTTTCTTTGAAGAGTTATTTCACTTTAAAAAACTGAATGGTGATTTAGCATTTGATAATAGTTCTTAGACTTTCAGCTATAAGTGAAATGTGTTCTAATTTCATTCTTTTACATGTAGCTGTCCAGTTTTCCCAGCACCGTCTATTGAAGAGACTGTCTTTTCTCTATCATATATCCTTGCCTCCCTTGTCGTAGATAAGTTGACCATAGGTGCGTGGGTTTATCTCTGGGCTTTCTATCCTGTTCCATTGATCTATATTTCTGTTTTTGTGCCAGTACCATACTGTTTTGATTATGGTAGTTTTGTAGTATAATCTGAAGTCAGGGAGCCTGATTCATCCAGCTCTGTTTTTCTTTCTCAAGATTGCTTTGGCTATTCAGGGTCTTTTGTGTTTCCATTACAAATTAAAAAATTTTTTGTTCTGCTTCTGTGAAAAATGCCATTGGTAATTTGATAGGGATTTCATTGAATCTGTAGATTAGAACACTCTCTAACACCATGCACAAAAATAAACTCAAAATGGATTAAAGACCTAAATGTTAGTCCAGATACTATAAAACTTTTAGAGGAAAACATAGGCAGAACACTCTCTGACATAAATCGCAGCAATATCGTTTTTGATCCACCTCCTAGTGTAATGAAAATAAAAACAAAAATAAACAAGTGGTACCTAATTAAACTTAAAAACTTTTGCATAGCAAAGGAAATCATAAACAAAATGAAAAGACAACCCACAGAATGGGAGAAAATATTTGCAAATGAAGCAACCAACAGGGGATTAATTTCCAAAATATACAAACAGCTCATGCAGCTCTATATCAAAAAAACAAATAACCCAATCAAAAAATGGGCAGAAGATCTAAATAGACATTTCTCCAAAGAAGATAGACAGATGTCCAAAAAGCACATGAAAAATGTGCTCAACATCACTAATTATTAGAGAAATGTAAATCAAAACTATAATGAAGTATCATCTCACACTGGTCAGAATGGCCATCATCAAAAAATCTACAAACAATAAATGCTAGAGAGGGTGTGGAGAAAAGGGAACCCTTCTACACTGTTGCTGGGAATGTAAATTGGTACAGCCACTATGGAGAATAGTGTGGAGGTTCCTTAAAAAACTAAAAATAGAGTTACCATATGGTCCAGCAGTCCCACTCCTGGGCATATATCTGAAAAAAAACCATAATTCAAAAAGATACTTGCACTCCAGTGTTCATTGCAGCATTATTTACAGCAGCCAAGACATGGAAGCAACCTAAATGTTCATCGACAGATGAATGGATAAAGAAGATGCGGTGTATATATACAGTGGAACGTTACTCAGCCATAAAAAGAATGAAATAATGCCATTTGCAACAACATGGATGGACCTAGAGATTAACATACTAAGTGAAGTAAGTCATAGAAAAGACAAATATTATATGATATCACTTATATGTGGAATCTAATTTAAAAATGATGCAAATGAAAAAAACATAAATGAAGTGAATAAGGAACTAAAAATACTCGATTCTGTGATAAACGAAGAGTAAAAAGTTTTCCATTAAGAAACAAAACTGGGACTTCCCTGGTGTGGCAGCGGTTAAGAATCCACCTGCCAATGTGGGGGACACGGGTTCGAGCCCTGGCCCCGGGAAGATCCCACATGCCACGGAGCAGCTAAGCCCGCGAGCCACAACTACTGAAGCCTGAGCGCCTAGAGCCCGTGCTCTGCAACAAGAGAAGCCACCGCAACGAGAAGCCCGTGCACTACAACGAAGAATAGCCCCCGCTCACCGCAACTAGAGAAAGCCTGCGCACAGCAACGAAGACCCAACACAGCTATAAATTTAAAAATAAATAAATAAATTTATAAAAAAAAAAAGGAAACAAAACTGTGTATACCTCTGAAACTGAGCTAACAGTTTTTGGTAGTGGTTTAGTGGGTATTTGTGGGGGAGAACAGGGCATGGTGAAGGAGGAGGGGACACCCACCCAACCAACCATGTCAGTTGGTTAACCTTGGCACCAGTCAAATGACAGATGTCATGGCCAGATTGCTCTTGTATAGTATAGATTTGGAAGATGAGACCTGGAGAGTTATTGGAATCTTACAGTTCTACTCAATGACATTCAGGATGTTAACTTATAAAACAAAGATTCTTGGACATTCATCAGTTTGAACTGATAACTGTTACGCTGTTTTATTGTTTTTTAAATTTGAGCTACTATGTCTGCCCTCCTGCCTATCTTATTTCTATGATAATATGAAAAATAAACAATTAAAATGCTTTTTTAGAAAGGTTTTATAGATTGGAGGAAAACTAAGTTTACCAATTCCATTCTTAGGAATTTTATTGGAGAATATCATATACTCACCCCTTGTTTCTTAGTTTCTATGTTAACCAAAACTGATCAGTAAAAATTTCCACATCTGTAACAATACGTTCTGAATATTTCTTTTAGCTACATGAGAAGAAAAATAATTGCTGAAACATTTGACAGGTAAACTGAATTTTATATATCATAAAACCCATTATTCATGGCCAAATAGTGACACATAGGAGTTTGTGATTTGCTCAGTGGGTTGAAATCTTCAATTAGTAAATTGGCTCCTGTTTACATTGTTGGAAGAGAAGACAAGAATTAATAGAAGAAATATATGCTTTCTCCTTGTTGAAAGTGGAAATGTGAAACTAAGTTTGAATAATATAAATAATAGAATGTTTAGGAACTTGGAGACAATTTGTTTTTAATTCTTAGTGAGCAAGACCTTTTTATTGTGTAACTTTTCCCCCCGAACAGTTGTTTATTCCTACCAGTCTTTCAATTTGGTATATGGTGTGTTACACTTGAAAATTACTTTCACGTCCATTGTTATCTGAGACTTATGGTAACACTGTGAGGTATTGGATTGGCATTGTTATACCCATTTTACAAATGAAAGAACTAAGGCTCAGAGAGGCCTGTGACTTGTCCAGCTTCTTTGAACTGAGTGAATGAGAGGAAGTTAATTTCAGAGGTTTATAGTCAGGTAGGACTTAGATTGGAACCCTGGTTTTGCCATTTTTGTACCAATTGTTTTACCCTGGATTATTTAATCCTATGATCCTTATTCTTATGTAAAGAGAGAATATCTGCCTGATTGAGTTTTGTGCAGATTAAATTAAATAACATAATTAATATAAAGTACCTACTATAGTGCTTGTCATGAATAAAAATTTAATAGCACTTACTATATGCCAAGCATTTTTCTAGGTGCTAGGGATATACCAGTAACAACATACAATTGGTCCCTGTTTTTATGGTTCTTAATTGTAATGGAGAAAAACAGGATATAAACAAGTAAAGTATAAACACATATATCATTTTTTTCTGAGTCATTCCAAGGCTTTTTGCCACTGCATATAGGTCAGAATAAATTGCAGGCACAAATTTATGTCAGCGATAGAATGTGTTCTTCTCTTAAATTAAGAATATAACACCTAAAATATTTTTCTTTCAGATTGTTTGTTGAGAAACATATAGAACTAAGTGGAGCCGTTCAGGAAGTATTAAGAAAAGATCATTCTTAAAAATTATTTTCTTATATATAAATATATCCTAGAAAAGATTCCTTCAGTTAACATTAGTTGAAAAGAAAAGGCATTGTAGACGTGAAGTAAACGGTGGTGGTGATGGAGAGTGAAGTATGTAGGCAAGGAAGATTAAGGAGACCAGGGGCAAGATGATGGAAGGGGAGGACGTGAGACAGTGTGTGGAGAGGAAGAGTGAAAGGAGTGTTTGAGAAATGAATGAAGTTACTATGAGAATAGCACATGAGCAGATTCTTCATTTGAGACGAATGTAAAAGTCTCAGCTTACTCATGCCTTCATTTACCTTCTCAGATATTTAGGAAGCATTTAGTGTGCCTTCCTTATTCTGAGTGCTTTATCAGGTGCTTGGAGATGAACTTAACTGGGGTTAAATGAACCCCAGTGAGGTAAATATTATGGACCTGGTGTCTAGGACCATACTAGCCCATACACCTTGGTGTAAAGTAGCAATCTGCTTTCCTTCTTCAGGATACTGTACTTCCATCTGTAAGAGAATCGTAATAAATAAAAATTTGCAATGTCTGTAATGTGGAGGATGTCATTCTAGAAGGGGTACCCTTACAAATAATCTGAAAATATGAAAGTGGTGGGCCAGCACAGGTTCATGGGAGGCTTGTAGGGCACAGAGAGGCGCGCTGAACTCAGCCTGGTGGATCCTGGTTCTCTTACACAATCCAGTCCCCCTAATTGTCAGGGAATGCAAATAAAGCAATACCATTTGCCATTCTTTTGAAAGCAAGAATTTACTTTTGTTGAAATTAGAAATTACGGTAAATTTTTTTGCTCAGTAATTGATAGCTGCAGTGTAAATTTACATAGCTCTTACATAAAATAATTTGACAGTATATTAAGAAGTCTAAAACTATTCACTATTTATAATAGCAGAATGCTAGAAATATCCCAGATGTCCATTAATAGGGAAATGGTTAACTAACTGTGGTACAGCCAACTAGTGGCGTACTATATCACTATCAAAAGGGCTATGGAAAGATCTCCAGGATATATCATTTACATGAGAAAACAAGGTGTAGAAAATCATGTATAGTATGCCAGCATTTATCTAAGAAAATGTATGGATAAGAATATATATATATTTTTTTTTTAAAAAAGAGGAAAGATAAGCCAGAGTAGAAACCAGGACAGGCATTAAAGCTACACATCTATGAGTGTACTTGATTCTGTGGATTTGATTTAGAAACCATATAAATATTTTACATAATTATGAAACAAAACTGAATATGGAAATATAATCCCCTCAAATCCAAAGCAAACTGAGTCTAACTGTTAACGCATCAGAAACGTGACCACATAGACAGACCTGGAAAGCAACGATCACATAGTAGCAGTGAGCACAGCTGCCACCAGCTCATGGTCTCTGAATACCATTCCCTACTAAAA